TGGGTGAACTTTACTTGGCATATTATTTAAGTCAGTATCCCATCTCCAGTACAAGACTTACTTGCCTACTGAAGGGACTAGCTGGGATTGGAGTATTACATTAAATTGCTTTTAATAGTGGCTATTTACAAACAAATTAATGTAGCTGAGTTGTATTATTTGGGAGCATAATTCCTGTACTGCAATTTGTGATTTTGCTGTCAACACACAAATGGGAATCACATGACCCTGGAACACTGCACAGTCATAAATGCCTATCAGTTACAAAACACCCAAATCTGGATCATGGGTCCATGGGGATACTGTGTGAAGCCTGGTCATAAAGTTATGTTCTAAGCGTCTTCGTAACTTTGAATGGTCACTAAATGGGACAGAACATCTTGTAATATACAGAGTAATTTCAGGTAGACCTTGCTTAAGCACTCATTCATTGATTGTTTAAACTTAGTGTTGCTAAACAAGTGATACTTACAACCAGTCTTCATAGTTGCAGCCGTCACAGTGTCCCTGTGGTTACGTGTACAATCCAAGTGCTCTGTGACCAGTTTGCAATTACAACATTGCAGTATCCTGCAATGATTCATGATCACCATTTGCAACCTTCACTGCAGGCTTCCAGAAAGCAAAGTCAATGAGAAAGCTGGCAGGATGTTGCAAATGATGACCACGTGATTCATAGGATTTATTTAACAATGGCAACCAGAATTGCTGGAATTGCTGTTGCTAAGTGGCACAGTCACGTGACCTTGAGCTTTATGACCACATTGCTTTAGTGACAGAAATTCCAGTTTCAGTTACTGCTGTTAACCAAGTAAACTGAAAGTTGGCAACTGTGCATATACATTTCTCAGATAATCTGAATAGATATGTTGATACACAAACCCCAATAATACTTTTTGCAGTGTCAGAGGAGGAAGAATTCAATTCCTAATCTTTCTTTTTCCTTCTAGAGTTATAAAGGGGATTTTAATGGTCTTTTATAATCCTATTGGGTATTTTTAATATTGTTTTTGCTTGTTTTTATTGTTGTGAGCCGCCCTGAGTCCTTTCGGAGATAGGGCGGCATACAAGTTTAAATAATAAATAAATAATAAATAAATAAATTTCCAAATGAGACTTACTGGGTCTTATTTAGCGCTACTGAAAAAGAAAAGAAACTAACCATCTAATCTAGTCAGTGGCCAACTATGGGGATGTCTATGCGAAGCAAGAAAGCAATAGTGGATTTTCAGTTGTAGTCTTCAACAACAGATAGGAGGAAATATATGGCTTCTGATGCTGTAATTAATGTCTAGTCATCAGGACCAGAAATCCTGATAATCTTATCCTCCATTAATGTCTGATCTCCTTTTAAAGATATGAGTACATTTTTGGTAGCAAATTCCATATTAAAGTATTGTGTGGGGAAAAAAGACTTCCTTTTATTTGCCCATAAATCTCCCACCATTAAGAATCATTAGATAACTCCAGGTTATAATACTGAGACAAACAGATTCCTTTCTGGGTTTTTTTCCCCATGTATATGTAATTTTCTAAGGCAAAAGGGTCCAGGTGTTGTAATCTGCAGACCTAGAGGAATTGCTTCACTCATTTTGTTCATGTTGGCTTTCGTTTTAGGTAATCCAACTCTGTAGTAATCTTGTTTTACATTTATCCCAAATTCTTTACAGATATTCTAAGTTTAGTTGCACTATAGATCTGTATAAATGCACAGTGATATTGATTGCAGTACTTCGTTTTCTTTTCTCTAATAACTCCAAGAATAGTTTTTTGGGGGGTATTTTACATTGAGCTGCACTTTAGTTTTTTTTAAATATGTTTTTTATTAAAAGCTTTACAAAGCCATTTAAACTAACATAAACTAATAAAAGAGTAGAAGCAAGAAAGAAAAGTAAAAAGTGGGAAGGGAAGGAAAGTGAAGGGAATCAATTTTTTTTGCAGCAAATATGTGTACAGCTATGTAATTTTTTTTTCTGTTATCCAGGTTTTTTTTCTAGTCATCAAAACCCCAAATCATAAGTGCATTTTCTTTCCATTTCATGCAAAAAAATCTATAAGAGGTTTCCAGTCAATCATAAATGTAGATTTTTTTTTTCTTTGATCAAAGAAGTACTTTAGCCATCTCCAGAAGTTCCATCATCTTCACCATCCATTCCTCTGTTGTAGGTAGTTTTGAATCTTTCCATTTTGGACCATATAAGTCTCACTACAGTTGTCATACATTAAAAAAAAGTTCCATGACTTGACTAGACATGACTAGTTGCTTGTGCATTAGTTCCAAAAGAAAACTCTCTGGTTTCAGTTGCACTTTAACTTTTAAAATTGTGTTGCACGTTACATTGACCGTTCTATCCAGACCCTCACTACTACCTCATATTCCCTTGCCTGGTAATCATCACCAGCTCAGAAACCTTCAGGCTATATGAGAAAGTTCTTGGGACTTTGTTGTTGTTGTTGCCATAATAGACATATCTTGCTTACACTGAGTTGCTATTCCTATTTTAATGCTTATTCCCTAGTTTCAACAGATAACTTTGAGGCTATATTTTTTGACTGAATACCTTTAAATCAGTGGGTATCATCAGATTTACCCTTACTGCTTATACTGCACTTCCAGTTATTTATGTCTATATTAGAAAAGACCGCTGCAAACACCAGGAAGATGACATTTAATTCCTGGCAATCTCTGAGTTTTAGTAATTTAACCCATGACAGTGAAAGAGCATGTTTTGATAAATCACCAGTTACGGTATATCCTGGAAGTCATGATCTATTCATTGGAAAATTCAGCTTTAATAGACGAGCCATTGCTTATAGTATTTATAGTACTACTTTGTTTTTTGTAAAAGTACAAACTACTAGTTATTCCTATATATGAAGTTGCAATCGGTTCAAACTATTGATTTACGGCACACTCACCAATAGTGTGGTGTACAGTTTGACTCTGTAGTGAAACAGTGCTTTCTTTTCTGATTCTTTTTTTGCATCATTGTATTGTTTTGTCACTAAACTTCCAGGTGTCAAAACAACAGTCAGTTATAAATATGAGAAATAAAATATTAGAATTAAGATAGTTAGTATATAAAAATAATAAAATTGTACATCAGCAAGTTATTCATGGAGAAAATAGCAGCATCCTTATCACTGTTTGGAGTTGTGCAACTGTTAAAATAGCTTGTTCACCTGAGGGGGAGGTAAAACAGGAATAATCTATCATCTCTCTTCCCATCCACTCTATAATAAGATATACTGTCCTTGAATGAGGCAGTTCCTTTTATCTATGAAGATCTGCCTACAAAACAAAAGCGAGAATTTATAACCCAGATCAGCACATTTCATCATTTAGAACTAGGTCGAACCAGGATCGATAGATTTGTGTGATTCCCCCTGTGTGATCATCTCATTTGTTCTCTCTCAATCTCAGTAAATATATGAGCTGGCTATTTGCATTTTACCAGTTTTCTACAAATTCAATTCCTAAACAAATGTCATAGCTGTCATAAGTCTTTCTCTATTCATTGTATCTTTTTTAAAGTAAGCTGGGAAATTGTATTTCCTGCTTCAATATTTTATTATTTGTTCCAGAAAGTAGGCCCTAAGAATTTATTTGAATATCAAAATCAAGAATGGGTAGGTTAGAATAACTTCATATGTTGTTCACATTGAATCAGCTTCATCTCATATGAAGTATAGGAGGGAGAATTCACCCCCAATAAACAAATAACAAACACTCAAGTAAATACATTGCTTTAAAGTACACAATGGTCCATGGATCTCCTTCTCCTCCTCCTCCTACTAGAAGTACCAATTGCCTAGAACCACTAGAAGTGTTCTGATATTATTATGGGAAAATGATTATTACAGTATTTCTCATGAGAGAGATTGGAACTGAAGTCTTGTGTTGCTCTCAAAAAGATGGGAAAAAAACTTCCTTCTTTGTAAGGAATGAAACTGGCAAGACAGGTACTAAAAGTTTCCAGGCCAGAGAAAACCAGAATATCAGCTAAGATCAAGAGCTTTTCAAGGTCCTAAAGAGATCATTCAAAGATAAGTTGGCATGGAAATGTGGAATTAAAAAGCCTAAAATTGAAACTCTGGAACACAATCCTGCCTATAAATAAAACATTGGCTTTTGTATTCTACAGTGTGCATATGGTTTTATTATTGTCAGCATTACAGAGTCAATTTTGCCACGCAGTTTCTTATAAGAAAATAAGGGTCTGGAGAACCCAGATTCACAACTCACCCAATATTCACTTTGTCCTTAAAAGGACCATGCAAGAAAAATCCATGCTATTTTTATTATGCAAATGGGAAACCAAGTATAACTCTCCAAGTATATGTGAGACAAAAAAACAACACCTGAACATAACTTTAAAACTGAAATTTCAGCAAGCAAGCATTATCTGGTGTCCTAACTATCTTTTTCAAGAAATAGTGCCTAAGAATGAACCCACGTCTTTATTCCAGAACATACTATACCTGCAGAAAATGTTCCTAGCTAGTTGATTTGTTTACCAAAACTTATGTAGCTCAGTCAAACATGTGATATCAACAGCTCTCCAACTGATAACTCTGATTCCTTCAGAAGTTGTGGTTCTGAAGAAGTTCCTTCATAGCTGTGATTGTCTTCAGAAGTTGTGGGTGCTTCATTATTGGAAGCCTTTAAGAAGAGACTGGACAACCACCTGTCCAAAATAGTATAGGTACAGGGTGTCCTGATTAAGCAGAGGGTTGGACTAGAAGACCTCCAAGGTCCCTTCCAACTCTGCTGTTATGATTCCTTTCATTCTGGATCTGCACCAAGTCTTAGTAATCAGGAACATAACTGTGAGAAGTTATACTGAAGGGTATAGCAGGTTTACAACTTTACATCATATTCCTGTGGTCATAAGCAAGCTGTCCACACTTCCCAATTCTGCCTGATCCAAAGTTTACTGTGATAGTTCAGAGATATAATTTGTATTATAGGGCTTCTTTTGTTTTTGTTCTCTTTTTAGTCTCTTCCCCCACAGTTGGCAAGCCCTACAAATGCAACTATTGTGGTCGCAGCTACAAGCAGCAAAGCACGTTGGAAGAGCACAAGGAACGTTGTCACAACTACCTGCAAAGTCTTAACACTGAACCACAGTTGCTGGCTGGCCAGCAAGGTAAGCCTGCTGCTAGGCTAGAACAGAGACAAACTGAAGGAGAATGCTATTGGTTATTATCTACCAAGGATTGTCTGAATTTGGAAATGTTTGCGAATGTTAAAAAAAACTGGGAGTATCATTGAGGATGGCATAGGCTACCTATAGAGACCAGCTCTATAGGTCAATCTTCCCACACTGAGCTTTCCCTAGTGGGTTGAGTTATTGCTACTCCTATGCTCTGGTAGCATAGCTATCTGTACAGATGACTGAGAATGATTGCTAAATGAGGCAGTCACTAAACAAGGACTACTTGTATGTTGATTGTGAATTTTGAAATTTGGAAGTCTATCACATCTGGAAACTATCAGTTTGAAAATAACTGGCCCCAGTTGGTACAGAACCTCTTTTCCAACTGCCTTTTATAGTCACTGCAGCTTTATTAATATTTTTTTATATCGGGACTAAGATTCTCATTTCTAGGACAGATGGAAACTAGCTTTAGTGGCCAAACATGCAGGATGGGAGACAGGAGAGATGCTGGTACACAAACACCATGAAGCAGGAGAACAGAAGCTAAATGAGATAATCACAAACGTAGACAGCAGGCTCTAATAGGATTGATTCAAGTTAGCACTGGCTGCCAGTTGTAACCTTATGTATTTTGCTGTGAGATATTTTTTTCTCCAATAAATTAATTATCAGTATCATTCATGTATGGCCTTCATAATCTTTCACAGACACTTTAAAAAAGGAATATAGGGTAGAATTAATTTGGACAACCAAAAATGAAACCAATTTTATTACCAGGTGACGAGATGCGAGACTTGGAGATGGTGCCGGACTCCATGCTTCATTCCTCAGCAGATCGGCCAGCCTTTATTGACCGACTAGCAAACAGCATCACCAAACGAAAACGCTCCACACCTCAGAAATTTATAGGTAAGATGCATTTCAAGCATTTCTTGTGAGCCAAGAGTTGTTGGATTACAGTACAGGATGTCTTAGGTGCTTCTCCCTGGACTAAAGAAGTCCCATGTGTAGTTCTCTTTTCCATCAGCATTATTTGTCTTACTCTCATCATAGACTTACCATCTGATACTAGAAGAAATTTGTAATCTGATCTCTTTTATCCTATGCATTAGGAGAGAAGCATATGCGGTATAGCCTCTCCGATATGGCATATGATGTCAACTCCAGCTTTGAGAAGGACGTGGAGATGGTGGCTGCCCACCATCCTATGGACGCTAGCTTTGGCAGTTCATTGTCATTCATGGGAGCAGAACATTTGCGTCCCCTCAGACTCCCACCCACAAACTGCATCTCTGAGATCACACCTGTCATCAGCTCTGTCTACACTCAAATCCAGCCCCTCCCGGGCAGGTTGGAAATTGCAAGTAGTCGGGAAGCTGCCGAAGGCCACGAGGACCTTTCTGATGGAACACAGATTGTGTATCGGGCATCACGGGAGCCAAGCATGGTATCACCTAGCAATGGTTGCCAGGATTCCACAGACACTGAGAGCATCCATGAGGAGAGGGGCTCACAGCAGCCGCTGCTATCCAGCATTGGGAATTGCAGCAGCAGCCGGCAGAGTCCAGCCTACGCCAAAGAGGACCCCAAATTGCAGGAGGGCATCATTCCCACCACTACTCGGTCAACTCCCAGTTCAGCCAAAGAAGCCCTACGTGTGGTGAATGATGAAGGGGAACAGGTAAAAGCCTTCAAATGTGAGCACTGCCGGATCTTATTCCTGGACCACGTCATGTTCACCATCCATATGGGCTGCCATGGCTTCAGAGACCCTTTTGAATGCAACATCTGTGGCTATCACAGCCAAGACCGGTACGAGTTCTCTTCCCACATAGTGCGAGGGGAACATAAAGTAGGCTAATCTTACTCTGTCCCCTTATTCATCTCTCCCCATCACTAGTGCTCTATCCTAGTTGGGCATGGAACTGTTCATTTCTTTTGTACTCCTTTGCACTGACTTTGGCTAAAAAAGAGAAATGTTAAAAAAAAAAAAAGAACCCTAAGTTTTAAAAAATCCAATGAACTTGAGACGGGGAGGAGCTCATAACATTTTGCCTTTCTCTATGGTGTGTTATTTAAAAGTTGATAATTAATTTTAAATTTTTGTTTTTTTTCTCTCACACTTGTAGTTATTTATTAACTCCTTCCTTCCTTCCTCCCTCCCTCCCTTCCTTCCATCCTTCCTCTAAATAGATTTTTCATTCATTTCACCAGGAATGTCCTCTTTTGAGGAGCAAGTAAGGGCTGGCATATCGCCCAGCAGCAAGCTTGACTCTCTAAGGTTAAGGTCTCTTCCATTTAGACATTTTTTTTGTTTTGGTTCCCATATTTCTGTTAAGCCACCATGTTAGGTATTAAGAACCTCAGATCAGGTGCTAAACACATTATAGAGCTTCCCCCTTTCAAGGGGCTAGGAAAGCCACGGCCTGAGCTATATAACTGTTCAAATGAACCGTATATATCTTCTTTTTATGGGTGGCTGTGAAATGGAGTGTATGAAGGTATCATGCTAGGAATGCTGTGGTCCCAAGAATTTAATACCTCTGTGCATCTACTTAACACAGCTTTGAACTGACTTGTATTATTTCCTCTATTGGGGCCCAAAAGGGATAGTGAATTTTGCATCTGGTGTTGATGAAGGAGCTACGGTATTTCAAGGAAGATGATGAGCACTTTGTATAGGAAGAATGCTGCCTTTCCATATTGAACCGAGAACCAGCATTGCGAAAACAAATGCTGTTTCCAGGATGCGATGAAGGAACCTTAACATTATCTGGTTAAATCTATGATGCTTCTAAAGAGTCTGGGATGTCCTGTCTTCTCTCCAGATAGGTTGTCTGAGCTAATTTTTTTTTTTTTTTTTGAGCTTCCATGGTTAGCACTTAGCGGATAATGGTTGCTAAAGACTGTAGAATCAGGGTAGGAAAAATGTATCTTTTACAACTCCCATCATGTCTTAGTACCCTCTGAGCAGGCTAGGATTAATGGGAGTTGAAATGCAGCAACATTTGGAGACTCAAAAGTTGCCAATCCAAGCTTTGGGAGAGGTAAGCCTCCTAGGTGAGTGCATGTCTTTAACTTTCCTCTCCCAATATGCAGGTTCCTTAGACAGCATTAATGAGCCTGGCTTTGCTGAGTAGGAATTGATTTGTAAGATGGAGTTATTTTCATTGGGAGGCAAGAATGATGCTAGCAATGATTGCTGGAGTCAGTTTAGGAATTTCTTAACATCTACTAGAGCCAAAGGAATGAGGAGAAAACTGCCAGTGTCTCTGTTCCGGTGCTTAACTTAAACCTCCTCATTCAGATTCCCAGCATCATTATTGCTGAACAGCTTGGAATTGGACTTAGTTTCCTGGTCAGTTTAGCTGTCCTTGTATGTGTCGATCCGTTATAAGCCTTATGGATCTATGTCCAGAAACCATGAGCGAGATCTAAAAGTGGCAGCCTTGAGGTGAGAGTTCTCTATAGCTATGGAATACATCACACTGCCCATCCCAAATTAAGGGGACCTAAGGTCTGCAGTGAGAGTTTCAGTTTTCTTAAAGAGAAATCTTTTTTCCAGATCAACGGCAACAACTTTTCTAAGCTGATTTTGCTGAAAAGGCAAATGAAACGCAGCAAGATTTCCATAGTGACATGTCCTCCGTTCGTTCACAGGTACACAGCCCAGGGTGTCAGAGGGGATCATTAGATTTCTGCAGCAGGGGCCCTGGCAAGGAACCTTTATTATGTGTACTTTAGTGTCTTAAAAACTTTGATCATCATCAAGGGCAAAAAAAAAATTCCTCCGTTCTATAATTGGTTGCAGATTGCTGCTGATAATAGGCTATAGGCAAGAGATAAAAAAACCACTTGTCGGTATTACACAGTCATTCCCACCTCCCCAACCTGAGTGGAAATCTTGTTGATAATTGTTTTTTAAGAGGGTAATCACCAAATTAGAAGCGTTATGCGCTGAGCCAATAAAACTTGAAGCTTGCCTTTTTCCATCTTTATCTGTTGGAAACATCTCATCTGACGGAAAGGGGTATGTGATGAAAATAGTCTCTCTAGTCTTAGCTGGGCAATGGATGTGACAAGAAGGGGAGTGCTTTTGGTTTAGATAAATCCCTTAAATGCATTTACTCAGCAGCACCCCAGGGAATTGCTTCCTTGCAGGATAAACCAAAGGCGGTTCTTTTTCTACTTAAAAAGCAAACCTCAAGCTGCAATGTTTTGTTCATTTTCCTTCTTTATTGCTTTTTGTAATGTGGAATACAGAGCTGAGCTTTTTTTAAAAAAAAATAAACAAATAAACAAACAAACAGGCCCAGCCAGTTTGACTAACTGAAAAGACCTGATTGAATGAGATGTTTTGATGAATTGGCCAAGGAGATGGGAGTGGAACTTTTCTTTAAATACAGTACCCTGATTCCACTGTTCTATTCATATTTTAAAATGTTGACTTTTTCTGGTACAATATCACTTTCCCCCTTCAGCTTTCTCTTTCCCACATTCAGCATAGGAGTGGCATCTTAGAGGCTTGGGAGGCATTTTGAGCTGGTCCCAGCAATGTCTATTTTAGCTTCAGCAGCAGAAGTGAATATATAATTTTTGTCATTCTGATTATATTGTGCAATACAAATAAAACATGCTGAGAGACTTTGCCAAATTGTTAAGGGAGTTTGAAAGTCCAGTTCTTATAGGGTATTTTTCGTATTAGAATCATACTTTTGGCTCCTTTAGTTCTACTGGCTCTAAGGTCAAGGATTTTTTTTCTCCTATTGATGTACTCATGTCTTCTATTGATGTACATTTAAAATAATTCAACATTTTTTGTGATAGTTAATCTAAATAGCTATTTCATGTGACATAGTTTTCCCTGTAATAATCTCCATGATTTCAATGCTCATTAGAATATTTTGTGTGAATGAAATCCTAGAGGGAATTATGGGAGCTCTCCTTTGAGTGGAAAAAGTCACCAGAACCAGCTTTTACACCTTGTGATTCGAATGCTTAATATTATCTTGCTCTAAAGGGTGAGATTCTTTCACCACTTACTTTAAAACCATGAAGACTTTTTAAAAAATTTAACACAGTTTGATAAGATTATAATTGAATTGAATCCGGGTGTTACTCATAGTGTTTGGGCTGTGCTCCAAAATATCAGAGAGAACATATCTGTAGGGCTTTTTTCATAATTATTGTTAAAACATCCTGGGAAACCTTATGAAAAAGTTCTGCAAAAGCAAAACATTGGACATCAAAGACATATTTATTACACACAGTAAATCCTCTAAGCTGATTTCCAATATTCTCAACAGCCCACTCTTCCTGCATTTGTTGCCCATTTTGTGAGTAAGGAGATGTGTGGGTGTTATATATACATACACATACCACACACACATTTGCCCCTCTTTTAGAACAGGTTGTCCAAATATTTGTCCTTGGGAAAGAACTGAACTATTCAAATAATTGTCTAAGAATTTTAGATTCCTCTGCTGATAACTTTCTCCCTAAAAAAACTAATTCTGACAGAACTGTATAGTCTATTCATGTAACTGTGTATCTGAACGAAGTCCAGATGTTTATCACCCAGGTGTTCAGTGTCACAATGGAAGTAGACCTCTGGAAAAAAAAAGGGAAGGTGCAGATAGGCCTATATAATAATAATAATAATAATAGAAATGAGAGCAGTCCCTAAACTCAGTTGTGTGCATGTTTCTTTTCCCATGTGAATCTAGACCTAAATAGGACATGTATATTAACTCCCGAGTTATATAGATAGCATTTATCCCTTGTGGGATCAGACAAATAGCACTTCTCTCTAGGTACTTGATATTCCTTGGCTTCTGTTATGGTGTATATACTCCAGAGGACTGGGGTAAAATCCATTTACTTTAGCTGGAGAGCATTATATTGTTTCTAATGAAAAACAAACATACATACATGAATTAGTAGTTACGAAGTCCTATAACCAAATTCCAGAAGTATCCAGTTCTGCAGAGAATGGATGCCAACTAATTATGTTTATATAATCAATATTTTAAACAAAACTGGAAATCAAACAGCAAAATTTATGTTTGTTTTCTTTCCACATATGAACTGAATGCACTGTATGAAGCAAGATAAATACAGATAGAAAATTAAATTTGGGTTAAAGATACCAGGAGTGTGACTTTTACCGAGATGTCTCCTTGATGTCTGAACTTTATTACCAGTGCCCTGATATGTTCCATGTGAGATGCGAATTACTTCAAGTTTCAATAGACAAAATTACAGAAATATATCTCTGTTCCCCCAATGCAGACTAAAATTTCTGTCAGCGGAATGTAAAACATATTGAACAGCTGACCAGATATGCTTTCCATCTGAATATATTGGTCAAGAGGAGGAAGCATTTATTGGCTTCTTGGAAGATGGCATTGGGAAGAAAATACACTTATGAAATTTTCTTTATTTATGTACTTGTTCCTGAAATAGGTATGAAACTTTGACAAGAACAACAGAAAAGCTTAGATAGTTGGAAACTGACTTCTTGAAAGCCAAAGATGGCCCTTGGGTGCTTGGCCTCACTTCATTGCCACACTGATAAAGCACCTAAAGTGTCATTTTTACTGGGTTTTTTAAAAAGCTATCCTTTGTGCCTCCATACAAAGTCCACATTCAGAATTGCTCTGCTTCCCGTTTCTGGTGGGAATTGGACCACTCTATGCAGGATCCAATTATTTTTGTTTAAGGGGAAATATTAAGACAGTTCTAGATCTAAATGAAGAGGTCCAGAACATCATTTGTGAACTCTTGTCTACTGCACTGTGGAATGGTACTAATCTTTCTCTGCCCTGCTTCAGGGAACAAGAATCCTGCTTCGGACTTTACATATTACCTCCTGCTTGCCCCCTTTTGTGAAAATGAAAACAGGTTTGTTTTTAGAGAAACAAAGCTCTGACATTTCTAAGAAATCAGTGTTCCTTTTTATTTTTTGCTTTCACCTGTATGAAGAGCCTAAAAAACAAATGTAGGAATTTTGTAAAACTCCAGGTCTCTTTAACTTGTGTAAATATATATATTTTTTAACCAGATGTATGAAGAACAAAAAAGATGTGCAATATCCCCAACCCGCTACAATATTCTTCACTTGTTTCTAACAAGCTTTCATTTGTATATTGTTATTGGGTTTGCTGGTGTGGCGCTCTTCCCCCTCCTCTTTTTTTTGGTGGGGTTAAACTTGCTTTTAAATAAAAGAAAAACCTCTTACTGCAAAAGCTTTTTTGTATTTGTAATATATTGTAAGTACATATTTGTGTAATGGAGATTATACTACTGTTAAGTTTTGTACTGTACTGGCTGAAGGTCTGTTATAAATAAACATGAGTAATTTAACAATCTGGTTCCTGGCTATCCTTAACTAATATTACTAATATTTGTGCTAACTCTTTAGATCAGCATCCTAATTCAGCACCATGTTAATACCTTGCAAAGGCTCCCTCATTCCTGCCAATAGGTGTGCAGAAGAACAAATCGGAAGGAAATTTGCTGTGATTCTCTTGCTTGTAAAGAAATCAACAGCGTAGCCCTTTAGAGAAGGCAACCTGTTTGCTTCAGAAGAATAAGCTGCATGTACAGTATATACTGTATATAGCCAAGGGTTGACTGTTCTCCATGGCTGCACGGAAACAAAGGTAAAATGAAGGGTGGTCAGTCTCTTTTGGCAAGAACATCATCTTGCTCGCCTGACCAACTGTTGGTCTACAGCAGAGGGGGGGGGGGTCAAATTCAGGCTCGCAGGCCGACCCCGGTCCACAGGGTGCTTAGATCTGGCCCATGGGGCCACCTGGAAACAGTGAGGGACCGACCCGCAGTGCCTCTGCCAGCAAAAATAGAGCAGCCCTCCCAAGTTCCATTTTCGCTGTCAGAGGGTTGCAGGAGGCTGTTGCAGCCAGAAACGGAGCTTGGGAGCCCATTTTCACTGCCAGAGCACTCAGGCCGCCACAGGCGCCCCCAACACGAGTGACGTCAAGCTGGCCACGCCCACCCCAGCCCCCTGAGGTCAAACACAACCCTGATGCGGCCCTCAAATGAAATCAAATTTGACACTCGTGTTCTACAGAATGCTTTCTGGTAATATCCCCAGAAGGCAAGGGACCGATGTTAGGCTTTTTTTCCCCTTGTGGCATGGGGAGAAGGGGAGTAGGAGGTGAACTGTTTCCATTGTGACTTTTAAAAATGATTTAAAATTACATAGCCATTAGGGGCGTCAGTGGAGAGATCTGAGGGTGGATATGGATATCAGCCTCCCAAAGATTTTCCCATGCTTGTTCTCATCTTTTTTTTTTTATTTTACATACCAGAAAATAGACTATTTTGCCCTCATAATTTTGCAATCTGATCTTTAAAGGCACTGGAGAACTGCATGGAGGCTATACCTACCCCCACCCCAGAATAAAGAGGAACCCATACACGTATAGAATTGGAATATACAAGCCTACAATAGACTCTGCAGAATGTATGCTTTTCTTTAAGATTAGACACACTGGCAGCTGAACTGCAGATTTTCATATTGGGATACCTAAGAGTGTCTGTGTTCCTACTTTTGAAAAATACAAGGTTTTGATAATCCATTTGTTGGCGAGTATCTAATGTTTTAGAAATTCAGGCATAATTGGTATGTGTGTGATTGCCAAGTGCAGACAGACAAGAATATGCATTGGGATTTACAATGGATGTGGATCCATAGTACAATCCATTCTAAGAGCCTCACATCTTACTAATTAGCACTTTCCACCCAATGAATCGACTATCACTTGTAATAAAAGAACGAGTGAAGGAGTGAAGTTCTTTTTATCTCTATAATGGGAATCTGAGACAAGAGCTGCTGCTTATAGTGGCACCTAATGCCTATGATAAGTATTAGTTTCAGCAGCTGTTAATGGACAGTTTTGAACAAATCCTGGCTATTTCTCTGGCAAAATGGACCCTTCAGCTTTGGCTGTTTCTATATCCTAATTAATATAATTTATTTTATTTTAAAAATCTATTAGTTTCCCTTTAACTAAGGGCAACATTCAACAAAACAAAGTTTGATTCAATTTCAATCCCAAATACATATGTAAACATAAGAGTTTTAAAAATCAAATTAATCAAATACCCCTTTATAATTTGGCAATAATTCTCCTGTAAAGTTATAAATAAGTCAACACTGTGACTGTTCACCTGCTCATCAGCATGAGGGCAGGTCTTAAAGACTTTAAAGTCAAACACATGCTAAAGGTAAAGGTTCCCCTTGCACATACGTGCTAGTCATCCCCAACTCTAGGGGGTGGTGCTCATCTCCGTTTCAAAGCCGAAGAGCCAGCGTTGTCCGAAGAGGTCTGTGGTCATGTGGCCGGCATGACTAAACGCCAAATGTGCACGGAACGCTGTTATCTTTCCATCAAAGGTGGTCCCTATTTTTCTACTTGCCTTTTTTTACATGCTTTCGAACTGCTAGGTTGGCAGAAGCTGGGACAAGTAACGGGAGCTCACCCCGTTACGCAGCACTAGGGAGTCGAACCGCTGAACTGCCTACCTTTTGATCGACAAGCTCAGCATCTCAGCCACTGAGCCCCTTTTGACACATGCTAGACAAGCTAAAAAAGAAATTACATCTACAAAAACTTGGGGAATATGTTTTTTTTTTAATGTAAGAATTATCCTTACCTCTTCACGAGCAAAAAAAACAAAGTTCTACTAAGGGGATTTATAATATTCCCAGCAAAATGGTAGTCATTTTTTTCCAAGAACAACACTCGTCTCTCCTGTTGAATACTGCCTTCCTTCTTAACTGATCAAAGGCCTCATACTATTTCTGCTTTCTTACATCATTTTCATTTTTGTACACAGTATATTTGTTCTGTTTTCAACGTTGTGGGCTAAGTGAAAGCTGACAGTATTTGCTTAACCAATTTCCACAGTTGTGCCTGTTTATCCAGGTTCTAATTAAATCAATAGCTTTTCAACTCTTTCTTCCTTTTCAGCAAAGCAAGTGGCAGGTCCAATGTTAATTATAGATTAACATTCCCCCTTCCCCAAAGGATTTGTTTATTCTGCAATTTCCAAAACTTTGGGGCTAACCTCTCTTCTATAATTTTTCTTCAGCTAAGAGACAAAACCTACAAACCAGTATTTTTATGTTCATCTCATCCAAATATTTTATACTTTGCAGAATTTTATTGTTGCCCATCCTGATGGTTAATTGATGTTCTGCTCATGTACATTTTTCCATGTTCATGATATCACAAAAAGTCTGCTAATCTAACATTCTGAGCTGGATAGGCATTAGGACCTGAATAATATTGTACCTTATACCACTTTTTTCCAACCATGTGTTTCTTAGCCTATCCATCACCCAGTGAAACAACTGGGACCTATTATGATGGAAACAAACCACTCATTTTCCCCTCAGAAGGATCCTTGTAAGTGCATGTATTTTTTTTTATTTTTAATGAAAAGTTAAAAGTAAGCTAATTAAAATGTCAGGGACTTATCTTGTCTCCATCTTAAAATATTTATGAGTCCCCTCCTTGATATGTTGACCCTTGAGAATTGTACAACTTTGTCCTCTTAGCTAAGCATTGATTCAGAATGAAGTTACTTCAGCAGACTACAGGTAAGTCCTCAACTTACGATCACAATTGAGCCCAAAATTTATGTTAAGTGAGACATTTGTTAAGTGAGTTTTGCCCCGTTTTACGGCTTTTCTTGCCACAGTTGTTAAGTGAATCACTGCAGTTGATAAATTAGTAACCTGGTTGTTAATCTGGCTTCCTCATTGACTTTGCTTGTCAGAAGGTCACAAAAGGAGATACCAGGACGTTGGGACGCAGCGACAATCGTAAATATGAACCAGTTGCCAAGCACCTAAATTTTGATCACATGATCATGGGGATGCTGCACAGGTCGTAATTATGAAAAATGGTCATAAGTCACATTTTTCAATGCCGTTGTAACTTTGAATGGTCACTAAATGAACTGTTGTAAGTCGAGGACTACTTGTATATGTACGTCTCCCTGTACCCATACAAGAATTGGAAATACAACCTTTTAAACTGAAAGGTAAGATGCTAAATTGTGCTCTGCATGCCAACTTTGTAAGTACCTTGATTATACCCTAAACATGAGTCCTGTTCAGAGAATATGAAGAATATTATCCTTCCTTCCAGTTACTGATTTGCCTTTGTGTGCCAACAACACATCACACAGGAGGCCGAGTCAATCATATGTTCACCCATTTTTAATTTCTTCTAGCTGCCACAAAGAAGATGTGTTTGTCATTTCTACCAATCCAGCTTCCTGTCTCCCCACAAGATAAAATGAAAATTGGGCCTTTGTTGTTTCGGTCTCGGGAGTGGAAAAAATGGAGAAACACTGGTAAGTAGTTTGCATGATCCTGGTCTGTTTGGGGCTAAAGTTAATTACTCCTCCGAATTAAGGTCATTTCTTTTTAGGATAGAATGTTTGCGGATCATGCTTACCCCACCCTGATCCCGTTAGTTAGCAGAATAGATCTATGCACAATCACATAACATTCATCCAGTCAGTTAGTTACATAGGAGAAACTAATCCATGTATTACAGCGCATGAGCACAGATGGTGGAGGCAAAGAACAGCCATCTCTGATGGTTTTACTGTTGTTACAAAGTCGGCTGCAGCTATAGTTTTTTTGCTGCTTTTTAAAACTGTGTATCTTAAGAATCTAAAATTAATTGTTAGGTTGAGGCAACTGAAGTTAAATTAAGGAAGAAATATTTACAACTGCCTTGTTGCTCACCTTTCCAAACTCAATGTTTAAGAAAAAGAGGACTAATAATATATAGGACCATAGATCTGTTTATTAAAATCATGTCAGACTGTCAGTATTTTTTGCCTCTATGTTAGGCATCTTCTAAAAGTATGTGATTTATGCATTGGAAGTCTGCTGAAAGGGATATCTTGCCATTCGTGTTAGTTCATTATTGGAGGAGAGAAAAAGTTATTGAAGTGCCCAAATGCTTAATGATTGACATCTGGCTCTGGATAAGCATTCCTTGCTTCTGGAATTTTACCAGCGTATTTATAAATTTTATCTTCACAATTATGAAAATTAATAACCTCTTTAATGCAATGTTAAATATAACCTCTTCTTGACCATTTCAGAATCTTATGCATAGACCTACCTAAAGTTGTAGGTAGGACTTTTCTGAATTTGTATCAAAGATTTGAATTTGTTCTAAAATATGTCCTACACTTTTAGAACAGGTATCACTTTATTATCATCAATAGAGCAGTCTCAGGCGCTATTATTTCCTCCCTTAGGATGGTACCAATCCTAAATTTACCAATTTTGTATTCAATTTATTCCTATTTATTTAAATAGTGATGCTGGCCAGAAAACAGCAGTGGGACATCAGCCACCGAGATACACTGAATTGCTATCTATTTTGCCTCCTACAGTTCCAGAACATTTCATAGATACAATTGAGCAAGTTAAGTTTGTCTGTCTACATCTGAAGCCAGGTCTCAATAAAATAAAAATAGCAGCAGCCAATAAAAGATGAGCTCATTTGCTACAAGTTCTCACAATGCACAAACTACATTTACATATTCGTCCTTTTGCTCACATCTCCATCTGCAATCTAGAGCTTCATCCATGACTTTTCCTTCATTAAATATTACAACTGGGAGAGGTATGTTTGTTGCCTGGATCATATCAGTCAGACTATATACAAGCGTGGAACAAACAATGAAGTTCCATACTTTTGGGAGTTGTCTGCTTGCCATAATTTATAAAAATAAATCTCAGAATAAAACTTTAGGTAGTGTAACTCAGAAGTCATACTAGAGTTAATGGTGCAGTCCACAACTAACATGCTTACAAAAGCTCCTTTCAAGAATTTCTAGTCACAAACTGGGAAAGTTGCCTTTTCTGACCTCTTAGGGATATGTGGCCATTTAAGCTAGATGGTGCCAAAGGCCCAACCTGATAAAAATGTATCCTTATCATATCCTCATTCTTCAAATTCTACTGGAGATGAGCTAGGGCAGAAATGAGAGGATGGTATCCAGTATCCCAGAAGGATTGACAGCTGCTTGGGTTTTAATATAAAGAAGTAGAAGCTGACAGAGCTATCATCGTTGCCAATCTAGAAAGATTACCAGCTCATACCATTATCTCAGCAGCGCTCCTGTATATTGCCTGAAGCCTGGTGACCTTAAGATGATCTGTCTGCTTTTCCAGTTTCTGCCTGATATTTCCTAGGCAGAGAAAAACTGCATTTAAATCACCATATAAAGTAAAAGCAATCATTGTCCTAACTGGGCCTTGAACATACCAGGTGTGTTCAGGTTCTGTCTCACTTGAATTGTTCGGAAGCTATTCTTTCCGAAAAGAGAGCTATTCCTCTTTTACCTGACTAGCAAAAGACAGTTAGTTACTTGGAAAAAGTTTACTCCAATTGCTGCCCACAGAGTCATCTGCATTATTTCAGCTGCTTCAAAAAATTATTGTTTGCAGATAGAAAAAACAGCCATATAATAAAGAAAAAGGCAAGATTACTCTTCCTGCTTTTTCCTCTCCTGAAGTTACAATTCCATCTATAAATGTCCCTTCTCTTTTTGGAGTGTTATTTATAAAAACACAAAACAGAGAGCACAACTTGCTTCATTATGTCGTCGTCATCAACCTTCATGTCCACTTTCTAGTCAGTAGTAGAGGACTAGAAAAAGGAGTTGATTCTTTATCCTATAGAATGATTGATCCCTCTGTAAGCAGCAGAACAAGAGTGATAAGCATCAGGGACTGGGAGAGAGAATCAAGCTAGGTTCCTCCTCCTGATCTTCCAGTTCTTTCACCAGTTTGATCTCATGAGTTTTGAATGGACTTTTAGCTTGAGACTCAGTGGACTGGAGGGCCTCACTTCCTTTTGGATTTTCTTTTGAATGGCACCTCTGATGTTTCACCAGCACGCCCCTCTGCCTGAATCTTCTCCCACACTCAAGGCAACGGTACGGTTTTTCTCCTGTATGGATACGTTGGTGTGTAATGAGATCAGACAGCCTGGTGAATCTTCTGTCACACTCATCACAGGCGTAAGGCTTCTCTCCTGTATGGATTTTTTGGTGCCGAGTAAGATCCGAAGGGTAGGCAAATTTCCTGCTGCACACCTTACAGGAAAACGGCTTCTCCCCCGAGTGCGTTCGCTGGTGAGAGACCAGGTTGGAGTGTTGGATGAACCTTTTCCCACACACCCCGCAGGCGTGAGGCTTTTCTCCTGTGTGGATCCTTCTGTGTGTCGTGAGAGAAGAGGAGGACACAAACCGTTTCCCACAGTCAGTGCAGGCATAGGGCTTCTGGCCCATGTGGTTCCGCTCGTGGATCTTCAGAGCAGACTGGTGGCTGAAGCATTTCTGGCAATAAGAACAGTGATATGGCTGCTCTCCCGAGTGACTCCTCTGATGGCTGACAAGATATGCCCGTTGGCTGAAGGTATCTCCACACTCGGAACAGATGTGAGGCTTCTCTCCCGAGTGGATTTTCTGATGTCTTGTGAGATGGGAAAGCTGGCTAAAGCTTTTCCCGCACTCGACACAAAGGTAGGGTCTTTCGCCTGTGTGAACATTAAGATGTTTTGCCAGATCTGAGGGGCGAGTGAAGCTTTTGCCACATTCGAGACAAACATGGCTTTTCTCTCTCCTTTGGGTTCCGCCTGAGATTGGGTGGACTGCCACGTTCCCCTCTTTCTTGGAATCCAGATGCTGCTGTTCCAGCTCCTCGGTTCTGCTAGCTAGATTGACACCTGTAAGGGGACGAAGATTATCACAAGGCAGCTCCACAGATCATGGCTAAGAAGGAGGTCGGCACCTCAGAGGTGCTTTTCTAAATATTCTTGTTCTCCAGTTCAAGGTGTTGGTTAAAGCAGTGGTGGGATTCAAATTTTTTACTACCGGTTCTGTGGGCGTGGCTGGGTGGGTGTGGCATAGCTTGGTGGGCGTGGCTGGGTGGGCGTGGCAGGGGAAGGATACTGTAAAATCTCCATTCTCACCGCACTCCAGGAGAAGGTTACTGCAAAATCCCCATTTCCTCCCAATCAGCTGGGACTCGGGAGACAGAGAATAGATGGGGGCGGGGCCAGTCAGAGGTGGTATTTACCGGTTCTCCAGAACTGGTCAGAACCTGCTGAAACCCACCTCTGGAGTAAAGACCTGCATGGCATGGGGCCAGATTATCTACAGAACCATCTTCATCCCATTACATCAGCCCATCCCACCAGATCAGGCAGGGAAGGTACATTGCAGACCCCATTTGTTAAAGAATTCTACTGGCGGGATTCCAGGAAGAGAGCCTTCTCTGCCATTGCCCCGCTCTGTGTGGAACACTCTTCCCCCAGAGGTGAGGCAGCCCCCATTCTTCTGAACTTCCATAGATAGGAAAACATGGCTTTTCAGCCTTGCTCGTCGGGCATGCAGTTGTGGGGCTAGTTAGCACCCTGAAAGCCCCCACTCTGCCTTTTAATTAATGTTTAACATTCCTTGCCCGATTCTGAAAGATTCAAGATGCAGTAGTGAGCCACGGCCTAGGGGTTGGGGACCCCTGGACTAAAAGACCTTCAAAGTCCCTTCCAGCTCTTATTCTGTTAATACAATTCCCACCCCATCCTTCCTACACCATATTGTCCTAAAAATGCCATCTACTCCATGAAGCCATCAATTCATAGCTATTCAAAAGCGGCAAATTGCAACCTGGGGCTAAAGATGTCCTTACCCATTGAGAGGTTAACAATATCCACCCTCCTTCTCCGGGTGCCCGATTGCTGCTGCCTGACCTCCACTGACACTCTCCGTGCTTTTGAAAAATCCACAGCCACATCTTGAGATGATTGAGTCCCCTGAAACAACAATGAAAGTCAAGTTCATAGAACCATGATGGCTGAAGGTGTACTGGACTGTAGACAGCATACACTGATTCAGGGAGTTGTGCAGCTGATCTCAGCTATTAAGATTTTTTAAAATACTATGCGAGCTTCTAAAAAACAATCCCTACTAATCAAAGTGGAATACAACTGCATTTTATATGTATTATGGACTATTTTAACCAGGGCAAGAGGAGTCTCAAAGATTATAGCATTTTCCCAGCACCCAAGTTTTACTGATAGGGATAATGGCTGGCTGGATTCACGCAATCTCTGTGTGCCATAATGTGATTTGTTTAGTTTGGGTTATTGTATTGTGTAAATTAAATCATCCACTCTATGTTGCAAATCATGTCTTGGGAATCAGAATAGTGTGTGATCCCAAGGGTAAATAACTTTCAATATCACCAAACTATTGTGCACAACTATTTTTCCCCTCCTTGGTAGGTTTCTCTGAAGATGGAAATAGAAACAGCAAACATAAAAGTGTGATAAGCAGCTAATGATAAAAAATGAAACCTTATAAACATAACTGGGTGAAAGAACAATAAAAACTGCTTTTGTACATTTCAACAACATTTAGTGGAAATAGTGAAACTTTATATTTCATCCCCTTTCATCATTTAAGCATCTCCAGACTTCAAGTAAAGTATCTTTCATTATGACCTGAATTTAACTAACAATAATATTATTATGCTCCATTTATTTGGCAGAAATGTTCTCTCTCCATGTTGAAGAATGGAACTTCCACTTCTGCAACCATTTATATATTTTTAGAATGACATGTATACGTAATGTTACAACTGCAGAGAACATTTAGAAGCAGAATTGGGGGACTTTCTCAGTAGTTTGGGGCGGGAAATGAGTAAGCCTTCCAGATTTGTTAAATTTCAGTTTTCCTTCCAGCCTGGTAGAATACTTGCCACTAGTGGGGGAAGATGGAAGCTGAATTCCACCAAAGATGGAGGGCCAATATGGCTCACTCCTCTTTAGCCCTATGAGCATGTTGATTCCCAATAGTTTCTAGGAGCACTGGGCTGTCTGCCCCATCGGGCCATGCCCCAATGAGGAGCATTTTGAGGCCATCAGAGAAAATAGAGCAAAATCCTTTTTGCCCCATTTTACGACTTTTCTTGCCACAGTTGTTAAGTGAATCGTTGCATTTGCTAAGTTAGTAACATTCTTGTTACTAAGTGAATATGGATTCCCCACTGACTTTATTTGTTGGAAGGTCACAAAAGCTGGTCACATGACCCCCCCAGGACGCTTCAACCATCATAAATATGAACCAGTTGCCAAGCATCTGAGTTTTGATCATGTGACCATGGGGATGCTACAACAGTCATGTTAAAAATTGTCATATCATTTTTTTCAGTGCTGTTGTAACTTTGAATAGTCACTAACTAAATGAACTGTTGTAAGTTAAGGACTACCTGAATTGTACAAATTATATTTCCCAGTTTACTTTTTCTCGGCCTACCAGTTTCTGCAGCCTGTTTTGGAAACCTGAGGCTTCAGAAGATGAAAACCAGTCAAATAGGAAAGAAGGGGGTCTTTTCCATTAATGGGGGGCCACTTCCTTTCTCTTTATTCCCAGCAGGTGACTAAAGAGATGAACAGGTGTGCTTGCTGCTAGTTTATGCAGCCAATAGTAGCCATTACTGCATGTTTTTAAACAAAAAGGTGAACGGGCAGAGTAGAGATCAACCATCCTTCAGCACTGGTCTCTTGATCTGGGGCTGACAGGAGCCATAGTTCCACCCTAAGAGAAGTGGCGTAAATTTCCTAACCTGACATGGACATGTTCTAAACGTAGCATCTGATGTCATAGGAAGAGGGAGAAGGGGGCCAGGTCTGAGGCCGCACCTTGCCTACTGTTTGTCCTGGAACAAACAGGCCTCACCTGCTCCTCCTGCTGCTTGTCTTCTTGCTGCCGCAAAACGAAGCCTTCAGCCAAGGCCACTGCTTGGGCACAGGTCTCTGGGCTACGTTCCCTGACCTGATTTTGGATGTCCTGAGGCAAGACGGTCAAGAACTGCTCTAAAATCAGCAGCTCGACAATCTGCTCTTTGGTGCGGCACTCTGGCTCCAGCCAGCAATGGCAGAGCTCCCGCAGGCGGCCGCAGACCTCCCGAGGCCCCTCGGCTTCCTGGTAACAGAATTGCCTGAAGCGCTGGCGGTGTAGCTCCGTGCTGGGGGAGTTTTCGTGCAGGAAGATGGTCTTGACTTTCCCACTGCCTTTTTTGCCTCTAGTGTTCTTGCCGCTCAACGCTTGCTGGCCTTCTGCCCTGAAAGCCGGCTTCAGTCTGGTCACCCCGTCACCTCGAGGCCACTGACAGACGCCAAACACTCTCTCAAAAGCGATCAAGTCATCCCAAGAAGTCAGATCTGGGAGGCCTGGGCTGCCCCATACCGTGGCCGGAGAGGGCAGAGTCTTCAGATATTCCCACCACTGGATAGGCATGCTCTCTGGCTGTAACATTGCCTCATGGGGTAGTTCCCATCTGATCCTAGGCTGAATGGCAAAATGGTCCCTTCCTGTTCGTTCTGGTGCCTCTGTTGGTCCTGGCCCTGCTGGCACCTTCTCCATTTTCTTTACCAGGCACACCTCCTTGTCAAATGTTGCCTGAACTCCTACCTCACACACTTAATCAGCCACACCTATGTACCCAAATCAGGTATTTTATCTTGCTGGGGATATTTCCAAATTCAGGCTTATCCCTTCCCCCACCCCTTACTCCCCATTATTGTCTTGCTATTTTGGGAGCCTCCTCATTTTCATTGCCCTCCTATGCTAACACTAACACTATAAAAGAACAGCTCCACGCAACTGTGGGCTTGATGTCAGGAACCAAGGCCTATCAGTGACCAGCTCAGAGTTCTTGTCCAATTATCTGGAGCTTCTTCCTGGAAAGAAACAGACATAAAACACCTTTTATAAATTTGTCTCCTCTTTTCCCCCAAAGAGCTTGGGACTGTGTACATAAACGTTTGTGTTTCTTCTTTAAAAAAAATTGGGACAGGTGAAGCTGAGGATGGTTGATCGTTCATTTCAGGACCTTCTCTTGAACAGACTGACAGACAGTATTTAAATATGGCAGAATCTAGGCCATATTTATGCCAGATACGGCCCACACACCCATATATACATTTACAGCCCCAGAACTAAATTTAAAATGGATGACATATAATCATATATTATATAATATATTACATATAATATATAATTATGCACAATTACAAGGATTGCAGAATCCCATGGTTACATGATCACCATTTTGTGACCTTTGCTGATGGCTTCTGTCAAACACAGTCAATGGGGAAACCAGCAGGAAGTCACAAGTTGTGATCGAGTGATATGATCTGCTATTCATTCACTTCATGGCTATAATGAGAACTGCCAGCATAAATCACTGCAGTCACATGATTTTTATGACCATTTTGGTGGTTAGAGATGCAGTTCCCAATCCCAGTTATGTTCATTAACTGGGGAATACCTCCCAACATACTGCATGTACAGATAGTCCTCGTCTTACGATCATAACTGAGCCCAAAATTTATGTTGCTAAGCAAGAGAGTTGTTAAGTGAATTTTGGCCCATTTTACAACTAGGAGACTGGAAGTCCTGCTTTGGGCAAAAGCCAGTTGAATGACCTTGGACCAGCCTTTCCCTTTCAGCCCTAGGAAACAGGCAAGGGCAAACCACTTCTGAAATCTGGCTAATACAATTGCAGGGACTAGCCAAGGCACTCACCAGGAGTCACACAGTCTCTGCCAGAACGTGTCAATTTTGGGCTGAGAATTTCTCCTTAGTCCTAAATTGGATCTCTCTTTGATAAGTTTCCATCCATTGCTTCTTGTTCTGCCTTCAGGTTCTGTCTACCATGACATGGCCATAAAGTTTTCCTGCCTGTCATTTTCAGTAAAAAGGCTCAGGGAACAAGGGAAAGATAAAACTCCGTCCCTTCTTTCTAAACCCTTTGAAAGAGCCTTGATAGTACAGTGGTCTAAAGCACCCTGTTATTAACACAGCTGCCTGCAATTACTGCAGGTTCGAATCTCACCAAGGCTCAAGGTTGACTCAGCCTTCCATCCTTTCTAAGGTAGGTAAATTGAGGACCCAGTTGTGGGGGCAATAAGCTGACTTTGTATAAATATACAAAAGTATGAAGGCTATTGCTTAACGCACTGTAAGCCGCCCTGAGTCTTCGGAGAAGGGCGGCATATAAATCAAATTAAAAAAAAAAAATCCACTACCCAAGGCTGCAGCACAGGTCAAGATAGAGGAACTTTCCTCACTGGCTCCCTCCAACCCAGTGCCTCCCAAAAGTGTTGACACATCAGCTCCAGTACCTTCTAGCCAGGGGTGGGTTCTACTTACCTTTACTACCGGTTCGCAACAAGAGTGCATGTGCATGCTTCTGTGCATGTGCAGAAGCTTCTGTATATGTACAGAAGCTACATGCAGATCATCCATTATGACATCCAGGCGGGTGGCCAGAGCCTCCCGCGGCTTTTACTACCGGTTTGCAAGAACCATACAGAACCGGGAGCAACCCACCACTGCTTCTAGCCATGGCCATGCTGGCTAAGGCTTATGGATCCTGAAGCATCAATGGTTCTGCAGGGTGTCCCTTGGGATGAAAACACCCCAGAAGCAGCAGCCTCTCAAGATTTAAAGAGGGGGAGGCCATCTGAACTCTGTTTACACATTTTGTCTTTGAAAAATAGCTCCCCTTCAGTGGGCGCTCACTTTGTAGGGAGCCTTTATTGCGCTAAGTATCGCCAAGAGACAAGCCCCATGTTAGGCTATTTGTATTTTATTATTCTTATTATTCTCTGTGAGCAACTCAGGAGAAGTGATGGGCCAACCAAATGCACAGATATACACTCTCCCCTTCCACTTATGACAACATGCACATGTTGGGGGGGAAGAGAAAACAAATGTCAAATATTCTCAATTGATATTTTATTACTTTGAGAATTTATCACTTGGAGCCATCAGATGTGTGATGATGGGTGTTGCCTAAATATTTCCCTGGCGTTTGTGGTTTCCTTATTTATTGGGTAAGCTATAATAAACTAAAAAAACCCACAGAAGTATATTAAATGAAGACAGACACCGAGTGCAAGCGAAGTTCACAGAACCCTTAAAAACTTTCTTCAGACTTAGGGGGCTATCCCACATCTTTCATCACCACCCTGACAATCCTCAATCTCCACAGGCATTAGAAAAAAGCCGGTTGGAGAGATGGCGGGACAGGACTTTTATCAGACCCTGTGATTCTCCATCTCCATTTTCTCTCTCTCCCTCCCCCCCTCTCCCAATTACAAAGTCTGATTGACTCTTCCTTCTCTAGGAGGCTAGAGAACTTTTGGGTGAGAAAAAAATAGCTTGATGGGACACCCCCACCCCAAAATCCTGTGTCATTATTCAGGCTTGGCTCCCCCTTCCTTTCTTCACCATAAAGCACAAATCAAAAATCTGGCGTTTTGTTGTGGTCAGGAAGGAAGAAGAGAAGGAAGAAGTGAAGCCCATGCTCCTTCCTTCCTCCTATTTATCTCCTTCCTTCCTTCATCTTCTTCTTCCCTTCTTCCTTCATTTCTCTCCTTCCTTCTTTCCACATTTCTCTCCTTCCTTCTTTCCTTCCACATTTCTCTCCTTCCTTCCTTCCTTCCTTCCTTCCTTCCTTCTTCCTTCCTTCCTAGATAGCCTGGGGCAGACGTGCTTGGCTGTAGTCCGGTGGGGCGGAGGGCCAGTGACGAACTAGCAGTGCTGGACAAAGGAAGCGAAGGGGTTCCGTCGAAGGGCCGCAAAAGCGCCACCCTGCCCGCCGCTCTCAGGACTCCGCGGCCCCACCGCCTAACTTCACAAAGAGGCGGGGGGCGTCCCCCCAAAAACTCTACAGAAGTCAGCGAGAAAGCCCCTCTCCTCTCCCGTCCCTCCTCTCCCCACCCAGATTTTGTTCTTGGACTCCGCCTGATTCGCCCCCCCCCCCTCCCCCGTTCCCGCCCTTGCAGATGCATCGGCTTCCCTTCGCCTGGCTGCCCCTTAAACTCACCGCTCTCCACAACTCCTGCCTCCACGCGGAACCCCGAGATCTCGAGCCCCGCAGACAATCCCACCCCCCCTTCATAAAATTCAGATGCCAAGGCTTTTAATCCGGGGCGGAGCAGGATGGAGTCTTGGCTACCGCATCCCCCTCTCGGCTTCCTGGGCCTCTCCAGGGTTTAGCTTTCGCTCAATAGGACTAAGCCGGCTTAAATCCAAAGGCTCCTGTTTAACTGGTTTGAGGATCGGGCTGCCAGTCATTGTAACTCTTGACGCGTCTCAGCACTGTGGGGGGGGTGGGGATGGAAAGGGTGGAAATAGTTGAGGGTGACTTTGACGCTTGGCAGCGCCAAGTATTCCTGGCGGGACTTAAATGCGAGCTCTTTGATTTCCATTGCACGAAGTATTTGTTTCCCCCGAACTAGAGCCACCTGAACCAAAATAGCTAATGGGATGGCAAATAAACATTAGCCTCCAAGTGGGATGTTTGGGATGGAGCTGCACAGGCATCTTGAATGTTTTCTTAAAGTTAGATTCAGAACATGCATAATGGCTCAGATTCCACACATAGCTCAATATACTAACTATATTGTATCTCGGTATGAACTTTGAGGTCAATGGGATAATGTTAGGTTCCACATGCCAGCATTAGGCAAAAGTCTCCAGTCAGACCATATAAACACTAATAGGTTCACTTATTGGCTTGGTTCACACATGTTAATTAATTGTAGAGGTGGATTAGTGTTTTTGTAGCTGAGTTAATTAACCATTAAAATCCATTCTTTTTTTTTTTTTTTGATGGCTTTTACATCTCTAGTCAGCAGGCTGCTGGATGGGGGAAATTTATTTTTGCCAGCGATCTAGTCTGAAGCCAGCTTTTGAAATTAGACTATATGTACAACTTTAAAATAATAGGTTACATTCAGTAAGTTATAAGCTAAGCCTCTGTCACCTTGATCCTGTTTGATGTGCCTAGCAGTAATCAAGTTCAGAAGCAGACAGCAGTCCTTTCTCCCTTTGTGGCTTCCCTACCATTTTCCCTATTGACCATTATTTGCACAAGTGTGTATGGGGAAGAAGCATTCTGGCTTGTGTTTAAAAACAGGTTGTCTTTTTAATTCCAAAGACTGCATTCTAATCAAGTGATTGGGAGGGGTGGTAGTATTTTGTTGTGGCTGAGTTATATTCTATTGGACATTTAGCACTACATATGCATCATGTATAATTTTTGATTACTTGATGATTACTTACTTGATGATTACTTACTTGATGATACAGACCTGAATAAAAATATAAACTGAGCCCTTGTGCACAGTTTGTACCAATATGAGTTTTTCTAGTTGTTTGAGGTTGGAAGTGCAGGATTCATTTCAGTGAGTCGCCAACTGCTGTAGTAATCATCAATTGATTGATGATTATTCATGATGATTCAACATGTTGAATCTGCCCTCACTTTGGGTATTCGTTTTGAAACTTGAGATTGCAGCAAAACAAATATAAATATTCATCAAAATAAAGATCCAACACTAAGTATTCCCTGGTGCATCCATGGAAATCCACAAAGATAAATCTGTACCCTTTTGTGCATATAGCTCATTCTGGCTTTCCCAAGCTTATTTTCATACTGCCAAATGATCAGGCTGAATGTCTGATTATTGTACTGCAGGTAGAAAATGTATTGAATTTGTATCTGCATTTTGCTTTATGAACTCTCCTTACCTGATGATAGAGGGCCACCTTAAGGACCAGGTTTTCATTACTTCGATTTTCCATATTTGTGATGTTAATATTTTGAGAATCTATTACCGTACAGAGTACATTATTTTTAAAATTTCACCCAAGATTTAAATTCTCAAAATAGTAATACAGGAAAAAATGAGTATATACATACATATATTCATTTATATATGAAATTATATACTAGCAAAATAAAATATCTGACTATAGGCTAACATACATAAAAATTAAATTTCTGGGTATCCTGCCCGTGCTATGATCTGTTCCCAGTAAGAGTAAGGTACTATATGGTATTATAACAATTTTATTGTCTCTTGTTCCTTTTTGTGCTCATCAATGAATTTTGTATCAATTATGTCAGAACTATATACTTCAACTGTTTCACCCTTTCTCTCCCAAATAGGTTAGGATTATTGATCAATGATTAACAGTTACCTCTGCCAATTTATGTACTAATCACAACAATGATATTGTATCAATAATTATGTCCAGTGTGCAAAAACATCAGATATGAAACTTTAATACTAGTGGTAGACCATTTTATTGCAACATTCACCTATAGTCCAGGTGTGTCAACCCTGTGGATAACAGCCCGAGTTAGTTTTACCCCAAACAAACCCAGATCTGAGACTAACTCTAATTCCCTCAGGGTTAGTAGGCTGGGTCATTTTAGTTTCTACATGTCATCCCCTGATCCAGTTAACTATGCTTAACAAAGACAGCCATTGAGTTTTACCAGTGCTAGTACCTACAATGGCTGGTTATTCTACCTCAAATGCACAGAAACTCATATGCACACTGCAGTACTTATGTCTGAATTGATTATGTCATTGTGCAATCTCAAGTTGTAATTGATTCTTAGCAATCACATATAAAGATTTTCTCCATGGTCATTTGGCTTTAACCTGGTCTTTCAGTTCTTCCAACAGTGCCTCACTCACCATTGTAACTGAATCCATCCACCTTGCTGCTGGTTGACCATATTACCTTTCCTAACATTAAAGCCGTCTCCAGAGAGTTAGGTCTTGATATAATGTGTCAGAAGTAGGATAATTTGAGCCTGGTCATTTGTGCCTCAAGTGAGTACTCTAGGTTGATTTGTTCAATGATCTATTTGTTTTTTTTGTTTGCTGTCCACAATATTCTCAGGAGTCTTGTCCAAAACCAAAGTTCAAAAGCACCAATACTATTCCTGTTCTGCTTTTTTCAAACTCCTTATGTTTGAACACTGTCCACTATTTGCAACACATTATAAAACAGCTTTCTAAGACACACTTGTAATTATTCTGATGCTGCCCAAAAAAACAGTCTGTTACTTCAGATTGTAGGAGAATGTCACCTATATCATTAGAAAGACCTTTAACCAATAGGCCTCATCAAAGCTCTGGAAATGGGTAAGTCTCCACCCTGCTTCATTTGCAAATATACAAGAAGTCCATAAACCTTTGATTTACAATCATATTAACATAGGGATCCAGAGGATAATCTGAATTTGTCAAAAAGTACACATTCCAAATCATCCATAAACCTGTCTCCAGTCTTAGTAATACAATTAGAATAGAGTTGGAAGGGACCTTGGAGGTTTCTGGTCCAACCCCCTGCTCAAGCAGGAGACCTATACCATTTCAGACAAGTGATTGTCCAGTCTCTTCTTAAAAACCTCCAGTGATGAAGCACTTACAACTTCTGAAGGCAAGTTGTTCCACTGGTTAATTGTTCTCACTTAGGAAGTTTCTCCTTAATTCCAGGTTGCTTCTCTCCTTGATTAGTTTCCATCCATTGTTTCTCGTCTTGTCTACTGGTGCTTTGGAAAACAAGTTGACCCCTTCTTTGTGGCAGCTCCTCAAATACTGCTATCATGTCACCCCTAGTCCTTCTTTTCTCTAGACCGGCTATACCCAATTCCTGCAACTGTTCTTCATGTTTTTGTTCCAGGTAAAACAAAGTAAATAATGCTGTTCTAATAAACAAAGCTGCTTGAGTAGATGCCTAGCATGAGCCATTGTTTATTCAGCCTACCTCAAAATGGAATTCTGACTATGTGCTTTCTCCTATGGGATATGCTGGAGAGCCACCTAAAACTCCAAAGGTATAAAAGCTTAACAACTAAAAATGCTACTAATGCAAGTTAAATTATGATTACATGTTGGCTTTGTTGCAACAACACTGTAAAAAACGACAAATAATTAAAATGTAATTTTTAAAAAAAATCGAACAACGGGAGCAAAAATTACTGGGTCTCTCCTGCAAATTCTTCAAGGCTTTTGTTCCTCTCCCATCAGTAAACACTCCGCAAAAGAACAAAAGTATAACTCTTCGCACACGCGCTATGGGGTAACTCTAGAACAAGAAGAAAAAACCACAAGTCCCAATATGCACTTCTTTAAGCAGACGCAATAAATTCAAGTTACGCACCCGTGATGCATTCTGGGATTCTCAGGAAAGCTGCAAGTTTTCACGAAGTGCAATATCCTTCCGCTGAAAACTAGAAAACATATAGTCCCATTCATAAATATATGAAACTATATAGCCTCAGTGTTACATCAAGAAATCAGAATGAAACTTTTTTTTTATTTTTGCCGTTAGAAAAATATTTACTATGTCGTATTATTCTCACTCCTTCTGAGAGAATCAAAGAGTTGTGATGGTAAGAGGAAGTAGGGTGAAGTGCTTCCGCTTCGCGGAGGAAAGCAATATAAAAATCCCAAGGAAAGAGCCGGACCTTCTTTCGCCTCTTCATCGTCAAAATGGTGGGTACCGCGCGCTTGAGGGAGCGGGCCGCAAAGGGGAAACGCGTGAGACAAAAAAATCAGCCCTGGAGAACCAGAGGGCGGAATTTGAGACATCAGTGAAATTACCTGAGGGAGAGGAGGTGGCTGTTCCATTAAATCCTGCCCCACGGTATACGCGTCCCATTTAAGCAAGCTTGGCGGAAAGCTAGAGTCGCCCTTCTCTGGTGTTTTTGGGGCTCCTGGTACAATCATCCTCCCCCCCTCGCCCGTCACCTTAGTGGTAAAGTCCTTGTCTCGAGGAGTTCGCGAGCCACGGCTAACGTTCTTAGCTCGCGGTTATTACACCGGGGGGGGGGGAAGGCGGGGGGGCTCTCAGGGTCCGTTGGCCTCCTCGCGTGCTGGGCTGCGATGCTGTTGCCAGTTGGGAATGATAATGGGGTTCGCACTCGGAAACATCTGGAGGTCCCCCCGTTTAAGGGAGATCATTCCAGTAGGGCGGGCCGGACTTAAATGGCGCCTGAGACTAAACTGGGTTAGGATTTGGATAGCACATGTTCTTCCCTCCATTCTGGCTTCTCCTGGGGCGAGGAAAAATCCCAGTGAAGGAATATTTAGCGAAAATACTTTATACAAACAAGATTTAGTGTGAAGTTGACAGTCTGATAGATAGTTCAACTGAATAACCCAAGCATCTTTTAAGTGGGTTTTTTTTCCCCCTGGAGTGGCCCAGCCGTTTTCTGAAAGACGCCAAAAGCACCTTACTCCAATTTAAAAAAAAAAGTTTGATTACTTGATTATTAGTAGGATTTTATTTTAAAAAGTCATGTGTAAGAGGTAAATGTTGAGACTGTTTTGCTGGGGAGGACGTTAAGAAATAAATTAAGGTGTGTAGAGATAAGATGTGCATCTTTTCCAATTTGTGGGTTTAAATACTGGCCTCTCTATTGGATTGTGTGATTTATTGTATTTATAATAATAGATCCCAAGAAGCCAGTGTTTAAACATACTTATTGGAAAAGATGGACATCTTTGCTTATCCCTCATATACATATATGTGCATTTGCTGCTGTTTACATTTGACTTTTTTAACTGGGAAAAAAGGCAGAAATAGTTCTGTTTGAATGTGTACACACATAAAGAATATTGGTGAAGATATAAATTTGTAAAACACTACAATCAATCTTTGGAAGCTTGGAAAGTATCAAAGCTGTATGCAAAATTTACCTTTGAGTTAGAGGTGTTGAGAGTTAGTGACAGGATAGCAATGCTTCCTGGTTATCCAAGCAAGTACTGTCTTTAACAATATCATTTGCTCTTAGAAGAAGATATTTTCTAGCTTGGTTCTAGAATTACCTGAGCTACCACAACATGTTCTCACATCTATCGCTTTGCTTTGCAGAGTCTGTTCTTCATTGATCAACATTGTTATATATTTTTGTTCCTTTAAAATAGACAAGGAAGAGAAGAAACAACGGCCGTGCCAAGAAGGGTCGAGGACATGTCCAGCCTATACGCTGTACCAACTGTGCCCGTTGTGTCCCCAAGGATAAAGCTATTAAGAAGTTTGTCATCCGAAATATTGTAGAAGCAGCTGCAGTCCGAGATATCTCTGAAGCGAGTGTCTTTGATTGTAAGCCCTTTCTCTTGCTATGCCCCTGGTTTTAATTGCCAATGTAAAGTTAAAATTAGAAAATTTAAGGATTAGGAGAAGACATTACAATGAACGGTCATATCTTCCTTTGTATTTGAGATAGTGTGATTATTGTTGTTATGGCGCTTATTGTACATCTCTGTGTCTGACAGGAAGATTTTCTTAATCCTGTTCAATAGTAGTTCATCCAAATTTTTCATATTTGTAGCATTGTTATTTTGACTGATCCATTAAAAGATAGGCAGGAAAGAACCAAAAGTAGACTCTGGATGAGAGTTCTCTTAAATTTCAATTGGAGTTTGATGAGAAAGTTTTCTTTCGCCATCAAAAATAATCACTCCATTGATTTTAGTGCAATATCTGAAGTACTGTAATAGAATTTGTGGGGCAGGGGGGTGAGTTCTTTCTTTATCAAGATGTTGCAAGGTCTTGCAAGGAAATTAAGTTGTGTTGCTAAAAATATCTTGTTTATAATTGTTCGTTATTGTCTTATTTGGTAAAATAATATTAAAGCTTATTTTTCTTCTTTTTAGATTCCATAATTTAGTCTTTTATGATAATGAAAGGAACCCTGGGGCAGATTATAACAGATTTTCAGGGGGAATCAGAAATCTGGCTGTTGTGTCTAATTGGATCTTTGTAGTCTTTTCCAGTAATCTTTTGTTTTTCCCTCAGCCTACGTGCTACCCAAACTCTATGTGAAGCTTCACTATTGTGTTAGCTGTGCTATCCACAGCAAGGTGGTGAGGAACCGATCCCGTGAGGCCCGGAAGGACCGCACTCCTCCTCCCCGGTTCAGGCCAGCAGTAAGTATATGATCAACTGCAGATTATTGCATTACTAACTAAAAAATTAATCTAGTTGGTGGAGTACAAATACGCCATTTCTGCATGATTATGTAAGTAGTCTTTAGAACCACAATTGGAATCAGAATTTTGGTCACTAAGTGTGTTTGCTAAATGACTCAATATGTGACCGAGCCTGATTTTATGACACTTTTTACCATCATTGTTGGGTGATTCCGTCTTCCTCAATTGATGTTGCTTGTCAGAAATTGGGTAGGGAGGTCACAAATCGCAATCACATGGCAGCAGGATGCTGCAACTGGTCATAAAGCAAGTTGTCAAGCGCCTAAATCGCAATCGCGCGGGTTATGTATGCAAGGATAGGATGGAAATAACTTTTTCCAAGGCTGTGTAGCTTTGAACCATTGTTACAACCATAAATTGAGGGCTGCCTATATAAGCCAGGGGTGTATAGAGAACTAGGGTGTTAGTTGGTGACAGGGACTATTTTAGAAAGAGATTTCAGGAGGTTCAGGGTTGGAATGGTGCCGAGAGCATCTGCATATAGTAGCATGCAGCCACTGGGCTGCACTTTTTATGTTCCTCACACAAGCAGATATGCTAAGTATTTGTCTTTCTGCATTCACATGATATGCTACACATTATGAGGATTGTTTAATTCCATGTTGGAATGAAGTAATCCTGACAGTTATAGTTTATTGTGCTTTCTGTTATTGGCATAGAAAAAAGCCTAAATGAAATGTGTTTCTAAAAGCTAATAATTATCTGCAGCTTTTTAATTTAATTGGAAATGAAAGATTATAAATAAAAGGATTGAATATTATAAATGAACTGTTGAGACAGCATTTTGTTGAGCTGGCAGAGGCCACAGGTATTCTTTGTTATACAAGGCAGCCATATTTTCAATCTCTGTTGAGATAGAAATGAGAATGTTCTTAGTTTGTTATATTTATCATTAGTAATAACGTTAGATGAATGTCTTCTAAAACACTTCTTTTTTTTCTCCTCTAGGGTGCTGCACCGAGACCACCTCCTAAGCCTATGTAAGGAGATGTTTTAAAAGATGTCAAATCCAAATATTGAGTCAATAAATACATTTACAATTGATGGTTGTTTGTGTTAACCCTAGAGTGTTTTTAAAAGGATGGGTCTTAAAAATGATAGGGGTGCAAGATTAATAAATACATTTTAAGTATGCTCCAAATAACTTTAAAAAATAACTTGAGTGATGCAAGTAGCCTTGAGAACACAATTAGTTCATTCAGCTCTTAGAAACCATCTAGTATTGTTTCATGAAGCAGCTTTGAGAGAGCTCTCTCAAACTTTCATCAAAACTTGATAGCAACTTTTTTTTTTTCTTTATGGGAGTTCTTTTCATATCTGAGAGTGTGGGCTTGCCATACCCATCCTCTTGCATACTATCAAATCAAAAAGACTCAGTGGTTTGCAAGTATTTTGTCCAGTAAAATGTTTTTAGCATGCCGTTCCAAATGCTATAGAATAGCTATTACAGCTTTTAATCATTGCCTTCAAAAACTGATATAACAAGCAGCAATTTGAAAGGTGAACAGCTGGTAGTTATGAATCAAAAGCAAACCAAATATTTTTCTGGATATTTTTTTTTCCTCTCATGGAAATGTGTTTGAAATATGTGATTCCGTAAGAATAATACAAGTGCAGCATATAAAATTAATTTTTGAAAAGGACTCTATGTACGAGACATTCTGACATTCAGTTCCAATTTATCTTGTGCCAGCCAACTTGGATGATTCCTTATGCAACTCTCTGCTGTTGTGTTGGCACCTAAGAGAAGCTTGTTTACCCATTTGGCAGGAGATGGATTTATGAATATGAACTCATAGTACTCTTACTTGGAAATACTGAAGTAGTTCAGCGTGCACAGATTTTTCAGACCCTTCCCTAATTATGTTAGACCTGTGAGTTACAGACTAGTAATTTTCATTATTCTCAACTTAATCATAATGTGTCTGCCTTCCTCCTTAAGGCATACTTTTGGAGTTGTGTATCCATGTTTTTCTATTAATAAGTTCTGTCCAGCTAGTATTAGCTTTGAAAAACTAAAGTTGAATGTAAAAACTTAAAATACAATCAGAAAAATCAGAATTGTGGCTATAAATGAAAAAGATTCCTTTTATTAAGAGCTTGTACTTTTGACACTTGAGATGTGAAAATGAACGTTTGTTTGAATCAAAATCCTTTGTCCAGTAATTAATATCCTTTTGAGAAACTTCACTGCTTTCTTGTGTACATGTAGTTGAAGTAAATGCTTTGTTCTTTGTATGGGAAGAAAAAGTGAATTAGTTCTAACGTATAATTTCAAATGCTGTTGGTTTTAATCATAATTAATCTTCAAAGGCCTCAGCAGGTGGCAACACCTGGCTTGTCTAGTTTAGAAGGTAAGGTGGGTCAGATCAAGTTAATTATTGATTATGAGAGTTCCAGGGAATCAAATTGGTTGTAGTCTAGAGTGGGGTGGGGGAGAGAATGTTATGGTAGTGGTTAATACAAACCATTTACATTGGCAAGAAAATTGCTTCTTTATTACATCCTTGATTTAGCTAAAAGATTCTGTTTAAATCTTCAGAGTTATTAGTCATAATAATGCATCTTTTTAAAAGTGCAAAAGAAGCAGTTGCAGGCTTCTAGTTTCTAGAACAAAGGTGGGGAACTATGACCCCTTTAAGACAGATCCACAATATGGAGTGTGGATTCTTTGGTGTAGCCAAGGCTTCAGACCTATTGTGGCAGTTGCTCCCATTATAGTAACTAGCAACTGCAAGATGCTGCCAAAATGTGCCCACTGCTCTAAAAATTTAAATTATCTCTGGATTGGACCTGGAAGGGTGATTTGTTCTTAAAAATGTTCATTGTCCTCATTTTTACCACTTGACAATATGATGGCAATCCTTTTTTGATAGTCTAAGTAGCCGTATAGGGTTTATTACTATAATTGTATCCAGAAAACCATAATGGGAAACAGCAAATGTAAGGTTGCTGCATTTCAGGAGTATGCAGCTGGTGTTAGCAGAAGGTCTGCACACCAAAAGTAGGGGTAGATTCTGGAGTTGGGGGTAAAATCCATGCCTCTAAGCACCTTTTGCTCCTTCCTCCATTGCAAAACAATGACCACATGGTCCCATTTTCCTGAAAAAGCTGAGCAAAAGGTCTGGCAAGCGATGGGTTAAGCCTAACCTCAAGCTGAACTCTTAACAATCCTGTAATTCCTGCTAGCAACTCAAGGGGGCACCAGCAAATAGTGGAAGCAAGAGTCAGTATTATTCATTAAGAAAAGGAGGTAGTAAGGAAGTCAATAGGTTCTCACAGCACATTAGTACCATTTGTGGCTTAGTATATCGGTTGAGATGGAGAGAAATCTTACTAGAAGCAAAGATGTAAGAGGGTCAGTAAGCTTCTAACGGGTATCAGATGGGTAGGGTTGTGAATTGAGCTAGATTAGCTTTAAACTGCTGCTGAAAGCTGCTACAATTGAGGGAAAGACAGGGACATTAGTTTTATCTAAGTAACTATTAGATTGTGCTTAATTATCTCCTATCCACCATGATAATGCCAATTTGGGGGAGAAATATAGTGGATTGAATCAGAAATTAAACCTGCCCTTACTGTGATTTATATCAAGGCAGATTATAAGAAAAAACATCAAAATCTTTTGGGTTATTCCATCATAGCTCTTCATCTAATGTCTGGTTTTTGGTCTGTGATTCTTACCTCAAAATGGGATTACCTTGGTGGGATTGGAACTAGACCCTTCCCTTCAGTTCATTGACTTTTTGAATTCCCTTTGTCTTTCTTCCTCCATTGGAAGCATGATTACAGATAAAGAACAGAGGACTCCCTTTGCCAAACAACTAGCTTGAATGAAATCAGACCTCAGTGCTTCCACTGAGTGTTGCATGTCCAAGGATGTCTTTGGCTGGATTTCCTCAGGATATTTTCCTTGGACTTAAAATAAACAATTGCTCTTGGTTAACTTCAGAATTTTATATTTTAAAAAAGTAGGACAGGTGCTTCTGTTGCCTTTTCCCAGATGCCCTCTGTGGAATCTCAAATCTCCCATAGCATAAAATAATTCAGTTGTGTCTGCCTGACACCTCTGGCACTCCATATGAAGAGATACTGCAGACTTTGGGGCTCCACCATCATATTCTCTGCATCTTTCACACAGCCATTGTACTGTGACTGGCTCTGTCTCCTGACCTACCCTTCCAAAAAGGAGTGGAGGTATAATATTCCTTTTTCAGAGCTGGACTTCATGTATCTGATGAAGTGGAACAAAATCCTTAAAAGCTCATGGATGATACATTGGGTAATCTTTTAAGGTACCATAAAATTATGGCAACAAGCTGACACATCCCTCCTTGGTGACGTGAAATAATTTTAGGAAAGACATATTGAGGGCATTTTTTAAAGACAGGCAACGGTAGTTGTCTATCATGGTCATTCTCAGATCCCTTGAATCTGTAAGGAAGAGGCAAGGGGTGGCTACTTCAGACTTGCTCCTTTCTAGTGGAAATACAGCATGCCGCTTAACTTGATTCACACCATTGATTTGTCTGGCTCAGCAGTGTCTCTGTACTCTTTGGCAGTCACCTTGCAACATTTCCATAATAGAAAGTTTCCCAACCTAACTTGTCTGGAGATGAGATGATGAAACCCAAGATCTTTTTTGCATGCAAAGCATGTACTTTCCTATCTAACTATGGCTTTTCTAAGGAAGGACATTCCCAACAAGCCCAGTCATGGGAGCATTCTTAATACATTCTGATTCCTTTTCCTTTTGCATGCTGCTTTTTGCACGTATTCATGAAAAAATGAGAGGATGAAATGTCCACCCACTCCCAGTAACCCCTCAGAAGTTACAGTCAGGTTCCAGTAATTTGCGGAAAGGAAGCAAAGAACACAGTCTTCGTTTGTTACTCCGGCACGAACTGACAATCACCATGTGAAAACAAAGTCAGGGCTAACCACTCAGTGCTGGCCATCACCATTTAAGCCTCTCCCCAAACCTGCCCAACTACCCACGCGCGTACTCCACCCATCATACGGAAACCATCAGGCTCCAAATGGTTAGGCACACCCAGCGCACAGGTGCCCACCCTGCTTTTCACCTGTGGCCGCTTCACAGTTCAGCTGCGGATTCAGCAGCGGCAACCGGGTCTGGCCTGTCCTCGCCCATCTGGCTGGTGATAACCAGGTCTGGCCTGTCCTCACCCATCTGGCTGGTGGCAACTGGGTCTGGCCTGTCCTCGCCCATCTGGCCGCATTCTGCCGTGAGTCCATCGGTTCTGTGAAGTGGTATGGTGCTGGGGCATGGCGCAGCTGCGCAGCTCCCAGAGCCCCGCCAGAATGGCAGTCCCGGCCTCTCCTTCCCCTACCAGAATGGCAGCCCCGGGCCACCAGGCACATCAGGGCTGACATACAGCCCCCCACCACCACAGAGACGGCACCTGGAAAACAAAGGGCACAATGAGATGGTTCCTGGCCACTGACTGCCCCCCCCGGTTTGGTTGTGTTCTGCCAGTGGAATCTAGCAACCAGCCAGGCTGCTCGCACATCTGTGCTGCGCACCTACGATGCCTCTGATAATGGGTATCCCTTCCACAGGATGAGATATTGTAACCGGCCTCTGTGCCACCCGGCACCCAATATTTTGTCAATCTCATAACGCTGCCCCCCTCCCCCCGGCTATGGGTGGGGTTTTTTTGTGGACAAATATGCCTGTTGCCTGATATAAAATAAGGTTTGTGGACTCTGTTTTTTGTCTGCCTGGCATTTATAGCTCTCATGAGGAAACGGGTGCACCCCGAGTCAAAGAAATTAGCCAGGGCTGCCTTAGGACCAAACAGAAAGAAGGTGCCACGATTTCTTAGTGGCTTTTCATTCCTTCAGAATAGCAGAACCTTTTGGAGGGTCCAGTCATTTCCAACTTGGAGGGCTTTAGGCATGTTGGATTTCGGGTCCCAACACCTCTGTATAGTAATGTCTGAGAACTCCAGAAGTTGTACTCCAATGACGCAAAGCCAAAACAGGTCAGGAAGAGGTGGAGACTTGCACAGAATCAAGTGGTA